CACACACACACACACACACACACACACACACACACACACACAAAACTAGAGAGATCTTATTTTTCATTTAAAGTAGTCCTGTAATTGCATACAGAATGCATAGTGCTCCCTACGGCAACAGTAACAAAATCTCTGAGTATGTTGAGGCAAGAAATCTCAAAGTTTGTATTACTTGTGTTGCGAGAGCAATATATGTACACACATTAACACTGTGGGGGAACACGAAGCATGTCCCCATGATATAAATCATTACATTTCCAGGTGAATCTTGTATGAATGTAAAAAATTGGTTATGGTAGGGGGTCAAGCAATTGTGAGATTAAAAAAACAATTGTTGGGGCCTAGGCTTTGGTAAATTTAACTGTTTTCATGTTTGTGTTTCAATCAGTATTATCAGACTTTGTTGAACAGAGGTCTGAAAGTCTAAACCAGAAACTTAAACTTCAAATATAAACACCCCATGGGTTATGTTGTTGGAAATGTCAATGGTATTGAATGGAAATATTCTTCAAATGAAGTTCTATTGACTAGAAAGAAACAGACCCAAACTGAATCAAATGCTAAATGTTTACTTTGGGGAAATCTTGAGGAGATGAATAACACAGAAGTGCAACAGTTCCAGTCACTGAGGTGTGGATGAATTTACACTCAACTACATCACCAGTATAAAAACAATCTGCGTGGCTTGTTGAGTTTTACTCTAAGACTTTAATGTGACTGAGAGTTCTTCTGTCTTTGTGATGCAGATTCGTTCAGACCAGGACCAGGACATCTCTATCCGGTACAGCATCACTGGAGTGGGAGCGGATCAACCGCCCAACGAGGTGTTCAGCATCGACCCAATGGTTGGAAAGATGTTCGTCACCAGGCCTCTGGATCGCGAGCATCGATCTTCTTATCATGTGAGTTTGGTGGTTCTGCTGGATGAATGATAACATTTCCAATTTGCTCCTCATTGGTGAGTCAGCACTTCACGGAGAACATCTGGCTGAAGTGAAGTGTGAGCCAGAAAATGTGGTAATTACACTCAGTTTGTCAAGTCACAGTTGTTTTAGTGTTGATCTTATTTCTCTAGTGCTTCAAGGAAAGCCTTAGAAGAGAGAAAACTATATTTCCATGTATAAATGTACGTACGCACCAATCATTTGTATCATAAAAGTCACTGACAAGTGATGTGATCATCATGTTTACAATACAATGACTTGTAAAGTAGGCTTTATTTTGACACCTCATTGTTCAAGTACAATTTTGTGGAATACTACTTTCCTATAATTAACAGCTGCCTTCTCCAGTAAGATGACTCATCCCATCACAACACAAAAACCTGTTTAAGCACCTCAAAAGGAAGACTTTACTTTAAGTTTAAGAATGGAAAACTGTAAAAATAATTATTTTTAAATGATTCCTACCCAACACTTAGTGGATGTAATAATTAGAGCATGTTAAGGCCTTTATGTTACACATCATTAGACCCATGTGACTCTCAGAATAAGGAAACAGCTTTACAGTTCTTTCAGACCTCCTCACACCAGCTGAGCCTGAAACAGCTGCCAAATTCAAAATAAAATTTTAAAAGTTTAAGTATTCTGAGTAATTTCACTACTCTGTCTTTATATCTCATACTATTTTTTATCAAATGATAATCTTGAGTAGGTATTACTGAGTATCAAAATAACATTTTGTTGGAAGATCAATTGTAGTTAAAACTCAACTGCATGATTTTAAAATTATTTAAAAAACTACATACCTCAAGCAACATTTATGACAATAAATTAAATGATTAACTTATAAGTTGAAAAATCGTCATGCAGTCAAGAGGTTAGTATCAAAAATATGGATTTTCGTTTTCTTTGTGATCCATAATCTGGGCTTTTTGTTGATATCTTTGTCAAATGAACATTTCTGTTAAACCGTTGGCTCTAACCTTTTAGTTGGAGGTAAGAAGACTTAAAAAACTGTGATCAAACAGTGTAATTTGTTACAAAGGTGTTTTGTAGGAGTCTCACAAAACGTACTTACTCTGTTATGTAGGTCTTACTAAATATGGCCTAAGTTTGTTGGGGGTGGAAAAGTGTGAACATGGAAAACAAAGTGAGAGGAACAAGGAGAGGCATGAGAGAAACACATGCAGATTTAAAGAGAGCGAGAAATATGTTGCCGTTCAAGTGTCTCAAATGAAACATTAAAAGGTGGGAAACAATTACTTTTTACACATCATACTCTAGAAAACTACAGCACACTCAACATTTTTTCTCTTTTTTCACTTCACATTTCATGCAAGGACAAAACAAAAGTGCTCATTTCTTTTTCACAAGAATCAGCCCTCTTGAAATGCAAACTCACCCAAGAAACAACATGCATTCTTATGAAAACAAAAGCCTTGAGGATTCTGAGTCTGCTGTTTTCCTTATCATGATGAAGCTTTTTGCCAATTTCACTGCCAGGTGTAGTATTTTTTCTCTTCTCCCTGTCATTTACTGTAAGATAATAACTAATGTAGATTCAAAAATACATTTTTCCTTTTTTAAATATGGCGATTATGACTGACTCCTGCTTTTATTGAATTTGGGGGTGGATTCAGGTGGGAAGGAGAGGCAACAGTGGGTAAAGATAAGGGGTCTGGCTCCTACACTATGGTTACTGAGTGCAGGAGAGATCAGTCAAAGCACTTTGAAGGAAAAAAAATATAACATCAGGGTGTCCTCAAGAAGCTATTTTGTGGGAGGAGCAGAGAAAAAGACAGTGATGAGTAGAAGATGAGCAGTTGTAAAAAATAATCTTTAGTTTTCTGTGGAGAAGAAGTGATTTAGGAATGCTATTTATTGTGCTTACTGTAGTGGTGAAGCATGCCTATCACAGATGGGCCACCTACTGAACTCCACAAACACACCACACACATAGTTAGATGAAACAAGTAATTTTTTAAGCTGTAAAAAAACAATTGCAAGTGGAAGTGTAGGAAACTGACAGATAATACACAGCATATGTTGAGGTTTCTGTATAGCTTACAAGATAGCTGTAGATAAGTTAATATTTATTTTTTTCATGTCACTTTCATCAGTTATGAAAAGCAAAGCAGTCAGTATTCATGAATTTCACTGAACAAAATCATTCAATAAGTTGGCATGTATAAAACAAAGTTGTACAGTGAAATAGGCTATAATACTGTAGTAAAACCAGCCAGTAAGCAAAACTAACCAGAAAATAAACCCCATTCTTGATTAATGCAAGTTGCTTTTGTACAACTTACATTAAGCTGCTAAGATTCCCATAGTCTTTCCACATCCACCACTGAGTGCATTATAAACAGAAAAATTTGCAAAACATAAGATTAAAAGAGCTCCATATATTTCAATGTCGAACAGCCATTTTTATTTTTTAAACTAATTCCATCAATCCCATTGGCTACAACTCAAATCTGACTGGCTGATCAAACAATCTGTCTGCTCTCATTCTCAGATTATTTAAATGGTTTGAAGATCCTGACATGAATACACATTACCCATGTTACAAACAAATTCCCTAGACACTGGATACAAATACTTTTGATTAAGTATTTGTTCTTCACAATAAAAATCTGCTCCATTTGACAACTTTTGGGAGGGTGTTATATACTAAAATAAAAAAACAGCTACATCATTATATCATACATAATCAATGTATGGATTTTTGTTTGTTTTATAAAGATGATTTAAATATCCTATCCATCCATTTTCTGTACACGCTTATTCCTTTCAGATTCATGGGGGTCACTGGTGCCCATGTCCAGCAGTCACAGTGCGAGAGGTGGGGCACACCCTGGACAAGTTGCAAGTCCATCACAGGGCCACACATAGAGACAAACAAGCATTCACTCTGTCACTCACACCTAGGGACAATTTAGAGTTATCAATTAACCTGACAGTCAAGTTTTTGGTCTGTGGGAGGAAGCCGGAGTACCCGGAGAGAACCCACACATGCACAGAGAGAACATGCAAACTACCCAGAAAGGTCCCCAGGCCGGGGATTTGAACCGGTAACTTTCTTGCTGAGAGGCATCAGCTCTGCCAACTGAGCCACCGTGCCGCCCAAATATGTTCTTATAAACATCCTAATTATTTTTATGTATGGGTCTACTGACGGCCTTCTCTGTATACTGTGAAGGCCCTGACAGCAACAACACATCTGGAGACCTTTTGATTTATCTAGCTTTCTATTTACCATCCTTTCAACTTATTTGAGTTTTTCCAGTCGATTCCTAGCATTGCTGTTTTACAGAATAAATGTTTCTAAAATAGTGTTCTGGTCTCAGATACTGTATACACTATGGTGCACAGTACTTGTTAAAATTTTTTATGATGCAGGTAAACATCCCCAGTGCTTCAAGCTTATAAAAATATCACTGAATAAATCATGTACAGGGATACAAACTTTTTTTAAGAAAGGTGAAGTAAATCTGAGCAGTTTTGGAAAGAATGAATGAGTTGATTTTAAAATATATTTTTTTCACCATTATTTGGGCAGTACAGTGGCTGAAGCGTTAGCACTGTTGCCTCACAGCAAGAAGCAGGACTGTGCATAAAAATCGATATATAGATTTAGAGGAATATTTTTTAAAACTATATTGTATCGATTTTCTTACTTTTACTATCTATGCACTCCCACCCCCCAACTCTTAGGGGGCAGTATAACAGTGTGTGTTTCCTGTTCACAGCAAGGAGCAGCAAGCTGCGAGATCGATGAGTAAGCAAAATAACCGGTATTCTTGAAGCGCCTTTGTCCTTAAAAGCAGATGTTTGGACACATTTTGTTTTTTATAATTATAAATATGTAATATAATTTTCTAAAATTTTGCTGACTTTGTTGTGTCAGTGGCTTTGAGCAATAATTATAAAGTAATATGTATCAATATTGAAATTGAATCGTGCTGCACTGTATTGAGAATTGTATTGCATCATGAGCTCTGTATCGAAAATGGTATCAAATAACCATGTTCTGTAGATGATACCCAAACCTAGCAAGAAGGTTCTGGGTTTAATCTCCACTTTTGCCTGGTTAATTAAAAGTAAATAAAAGAAAACTGTAGAAAAATGAAAACAAACTTCTATGGATGTACTTTCTTACAGACATGTTATATTTTAGTCGTAAACGATTTCTCGTCTGTTCTTTACAGGGAAAAATGGCTCAATTAACTATAAAAAAGAGCTCAGTTTTTGTTGTTGTTTCGTTTTTAACTTTCAAACTTTAGAGGCCATAAAGCTGGCAATATGCATTTTACAACAAAAATTCCAGTAATAACTCCCTGTTCAAACTTTCTGAGAAATCATAGCTGGTGATTTATTTGATCTGAGCACAGCTGAGTAGAATTTGAGATGGGCTGACTGTGTTTGGGGAGTCATAACTAAAGTGGAGAGATTTCGTAGCTCCTTTTCTAATAAAACCAGGCAGAATGTTGGCCAGGGGTCCAGCGCTGTCATTCTGAAACAAACCCTAGGCTTTTAAAACTGAGCAAAGCTTCTTTATATATTTATAAAAATGTTTCTTGTTGGTTCCTGCAGAGACAGGAATTTCTGAAGACTTGGTGTAAATACAGTGGGTAAAATAAGTATCGAACACGTCACCATTTTTCTCAGTAAATATATTACTAGAGGTGCTAATGACAGGAAATTTTCACCAGATGTCGGTAACAACCCAAGTGATCCAAAATGTCCAGAAAGGAAGTTATTTGTAGCAATGTGGAATGGCTCAGGGAAAAAGTATTAAACGCACTTACTGAAATGTATCTAATACTTTGTACAAAAACCTTTGTTGTCAATGACAGCTTCAAGACGCCTCCTGTATGGAGAAACTAGTGGCATGCATTGCTCAGGTGTGATTTTGGCCCATTCTTCCACACAAACAGTTCCATAGATTTTCTGTTGGATTCAGGTCAGATGATTGGCTGGGCCATTCCAGCAGCTTTAG